CACGGGTCAATGGGAAATCACACAAGGTTGTTCACATTGATGTTTCTACAGCTTTCATTAATATAATATTTGGACAGGTAGAAATGCTTCACCTTGAAACACATACATCGAAATGAGGATGGTTGAATATTGACCAGCAAATCTCTTGAGCTGCAACAAGGATCACCCCATAAATAATAAATACATTTTTAAACACTTCTCATTATTTAGTGCACACTGTTAGCAGGTGGGTCTGTTCCGATGTTAAAATCAGCAGGAATTTATTAGTAGTTTTTTTATAAATCTAAAATTAAATTTGTAAAAGAAATTATTATTACTTTGCTCTGAAAAAACTGAAATGTTGGCTTTGATTAAATTATCTCAACAGATGACAAACTACTAGGTTTAACTTAACACTATGGCTTTTAGCTACTGTAACCTACTGCAATTATGTGTAATCTGATGACATCACACATTCAATTAACTCAATGTTTCAGTTCTCTTCATTGTAGTTTGCTTTTTTTTAAACAAGCTTAGAGTTTCTTAATGTTTTTACATATGAGGAATGCAATTTAGTCACTAATGTAGTAGGGAAAACACACACACACACACACACACACACACACACACACACACACACACACACACACACACACACACACACACACACACACACACACACACACACACACACACACACACACACACACACACACACACACACACACACACACACACACACACACACACTGCATCCAGCATGCAGGGCCGAGGATCCTCTTCATCCTGTGTGTGTTGCACTTTGTGCTGCAGCCTGAACTAAAGAATAAGAAACATGTTTTCACTAAAAATCATTGTCACTGTCACTGAGGAGTTAAAGAGAGAGGAACATCAAAGGAGAGGAGAGCGAGGAGGTCTCAGGAGGGGGGAGACGATGAGGTGAAGGACACAGTCTCTCTGAGTCTCTTCTCCTCCTCCTCCTCCTCCTCCTCTTCCGCCTGTCCTCCTCCTCCTCTTCCTCTTCTTCCTCCCCCCCGCTCCTCCTCCTCCATGTGTTTTGATTCCCAGAACGAACTTAACATCCTGATTCCATTTGTCCCTCACTTTACCTTTAGACACCCCCCCCCTTCATGAGGTCATAGCTACTCAGATGTCACGTTAAAGGTAACATTGTCCGTAGACATGGCAACACAATTGCTAGCCTTTATATTCCAAAATATGTAATAGAAAACGGTTTAACCCGTACAATGCACACTTTTCTTAAAACCTTGTTCATGAGCAACATATAAAAAACAAGAGAAGTGAATGCTCTCTCCTTTTAAAGATGTGAAGACCACCTGCGGTTGCTAATTACTAGCATAATAAAAGAACAACGGAGATAACACTTTCATATCTCAAGAAGTGAATAAAGTTCCAGTAATATAATAACATCCAGTGATTTATGTAAGCTTGAATACATGATGTGCAAGACAAGTGATGTGACCAAAAATAAGAACTTTGACGGCAGGGGAAGAGGATGAGTTGTGTCTTTTCAAATGAAAGAGGCTGTGTGACTTCATCCTGCAACATGTCCTCCACAGGGACAAACAGAAGCAGCTCAGGATGGAGTGTGTGTGGACAGAGAGAGAGAGAGCTGTGGGCGATCCAAGAGGGAAACATAACTATGAGGTTTGGTCAGATTGGGGCGATTGGAGCTGAGATAACATTTAAGCTGTGAAAGGCTATTGAATATTGGAATAATATACTCAGTGGTGTGTATTCAAGAGGTGTACTTAATATAGACACACATTGTACTTGTGCTTTACCCGAGTACTTTTCATTTATAATACTTTATACTTCTACTTTTTGGAAGCCAATATTATACTTTTTACTTTACCACATTTATTTTACAGAGTAATTTAAAAGTTTTTAGAAAGAATATTTCACAGTTTAGAATCATTACCTTTACTCAAGTAAAGAGTCTGAATACTTTTTCCACCACTGCATATACTGAATATGATCATCAACAGGATAAGCATCAAACACGGCTTATTCATGTCCCTGTAAATCCACCAGACCCCATAGCACCTGCAGCTCTGCAACATCCAGCTGGGAGACCCTCAGGCAGCAGGAAACATCAGGCAGCAGGAAACCTCTGCCTGACACACAGCGCTGGCAGAGAGCTGCTGAAGAACCTTCATGTCATGGTGGCAGAAAAGTAGCACTAATGAGCTAATGTTGCTCGGTGTCTGCTGGAAGACAAAACAGGGGGTCCTCCGCAATGAAAAATGTTTTCAATTTAATTCCATTTCCTGCCTTGCTACTAATATATTAGGGGTTATAGTGTTAAGAAATCCAAGAAAAATGTGTAATGTTATGAGTGTGCACACTTATCTAGTATCCTATCCATGTGAACCTGTTTTATTTGTGATGAACTCACATCCTCTAGGGCAGGGGTGTCAAACTCAAGGCCCGGGGGCCAAATCCGGCCCCTGACTTCATTTGATGTGGCCCCACAAGAGCTTGCAAATAATATAATATGTTTATTATAAGGTTACATGCCGATTTACAGAAGCACGTTGCCCATAAACTACATGTAGCACAATGCACAATGCATCTCATTTTTTCTCAGAATCTGACTTTTTTTTCAAAATGTCACCTTTTTTTTTGTGACTTTTTTTTCCAGAATTTGATTTTCTTTTTAAATCATTTTGTGACATTCTTTCTGAAGAGACTTATGAAGTTATTACCCTATCCGATAATAATCCAATGCAGAGGCAATAATGTAATATAATACATTATTTTATATATATTAAATATTTATATATGTATTTTTATAGTCTTGTATATAAAACTGGCCCTTTGCATGCAACCATGATGCTAATGTGGCCCGAGATGAAATTGAGTTTGACACCCCTGATATAGAGCATAACAAACTATAAATAAACCACACAAAAGACAGACTAACAGCATCACTGTGCAGGAGGAAGGACTTCCTTGCCAAGTGACCTGCATTCAATTCAAGTCATATTGAGATATTTTATTAATACAAATCACTTCTCTTTCTCAAAACAACATGATAGTCTATGGTTTTCCAATACATACCTCATTATTTATAAAAAAAAATCATTAATTATAGAGGAAGGTTGGGTGACCTTAAAGGGACCATGTCATGCTTGTGTGTTATGAAGGTTTTTATGCATGTAAACGGTCTGCAAAGTCACAAACCCTCAAAGTACACCCTGTAGCGAGTGGGAGCTCCAACAAGCCATTTAGGACAGAGAGTGAATACACATACTATACAGAGATGCTGTATGAGAAACCAATGTGATTTTGCAAAATTGCACAATATAAATCTATCCTCACATCGTACAAGGAAAAACTTCCAGAGAAAACCTCACAGTTTAAAGGGAAACATGGGAGAAACCTCAGGGAGAGCAACAGAGGAGGGATCCCTCTCCCAGGACGGACAGACGTGCAAAAGATGCCGTGTGTAAATCGAAAAGATAATACATTTACAACATAGGTAGTCCAAATGTTCGGAAATGCATGTGTCTATAATAAGAAGATGAATCCACGAGGATGTCAGCAATCTTGTGGGAGCCATCAGGGAAGTAGTATGGTGAGAGTCTGGCAGGACCGCAGAGACAGGTTCAGCCAGGACTCGAAGTCCAGGACTCGGATCCAGAACTCAGGATCAAGGACACACGACCACAGCAACAGGATTAGCCTCGACTCAGGATCCCGGCGTATATATGGACACAAACAAGAGATTTGGTGGAAGCTGGGTTAATCGGAACATGAGAGTACACAGGTACAAACAAACAGAAAGACGGAGTAAGGTGCCCACCCTCCCAACAGTCCAAGCCTATAGCAGCTAAACTAACGTGCACACACTACATGCACTCCCTTAGGATAGGTTGAGGGAAAAGGGTAGCAAGTAAGAAGTAGGAAACAGAGGTGGAGAGGCACACGCAGGGAGAAAGGTCCCCACTGGAACCTGAATTGGTTAGAGGTATAGGAGTAGGTCTGTGGCTACGTTCCACACACCCCGGCCGGGCTAGGCCTTCTCTGCAACCTGTTACCCTCTAATAAACCTCGAGTGGTCAGAGAGGGGAAAGGTTTTGGATAAAGTTTTAAATATAAGATCTAAGTTTTTAGGATTTAAGTGAAAGAGTAAGAACTCAAATGTATAGGTGAAGAGGCACAACGTATCAACGTCAATGCACTCTTATTAGATTATTTTATTTTATCACTATAAGCTTTATCAAAAAGTTAGGTCTTAAGCATACTCTTAAAAACGGATAGGCTGTCTGCCGCACGAACACAAACTGGAAGCTGATTCCAACAACCCTGCATTCTTGGAACGCAATGCCCTAGTAGGACAGTAGGGTATAATGAGTTCTTTAAGGTAAGATGGCGCCTGCCCATTAAGGGCTTTGTAGGCGAGAAGAAGAATTTTAAATTCTATCCTGTGTTCTATAGGGAGCCAGTGTAAGGCAGCCAGAACAGGAGTAATGTGGTCCCTTTTCCTAACTCTGGTTAGTACACGAGCTGCAGCATTTTGAATCAGCTGAAGCAACTTAACTGACTTCTTGGTACACCCTGATAATAAGGAGTTACAATAATCCAGCCTTGAAGTAACAAATGGATGGACTAGTTTCTCTGCATCGTTTTGAAGCAAGATATGCCTAATTTTGGCAATGTTGCGTAGATGGAAGTAGGCGGTCCTTGAGATTGATTTTATGTGGGCGTTAAAGGATAAATCCTGATCAAATATAACACCAAGATTCCTTACAGTCTCACTGGAGGCCAAATTAATGCCATCGATAACTAGTATATCTTTAGATAGTTTGTTTCGTAGATTCTTTGGGCCGAGTACAATAACTTCAGTTTTAGCCGTGTTTAACATCAACAAGTTTAAGGTCATCCACGTTTTTAAGTCCTTGAGGCAGTCTTGAATTTTATTTAGGTGATTGGTTTCATCAGGCTTGATGGATAAATATAGTTGAGTATCATCTGCATAACAGTGGAAATATACAGAATGATTCCTTATAATATTGCCTAGCGGAAGCATATAATACACTGTTTTGAAAACTAATGGCTTTATTATGTTTGATCAATTATTGACTAATGCTTTGTTGTTCAATTAAAAGGCAATCATGAGAATTATTTTGGGTTGCAAGATTGTGAAAAAGCCATTTGACTTATTCGACTCTATTGCAAAAAAAACATTTTTTATGTAAGTAATCACATTGGTGTTGTAGTGATACCTATTTGTTATATATTCCTTATTCACTTGATGTGTCTTGCAAAATGTATGGGATTATACAACACTTATTTTTAAAGGCTGACTTCACCAAGTTGTTTTTTTCTTGAACTCGGAGGCATACATCTGTATTATACAGTAGCACTTACATACACACAACTTTCAAGTGTTTTTCCCATATTTCTTTTACAGAGGAGTTTGTTCATTTATCCAATACTTTCCAAATCCAAAAAGTAATGTTTACATGGCTGTTGAAAGTATTTTCTGATATATGATACAAAGAGTTCCTTCTATAATATCCTTTCACATATATGTCAACAAAACAAAACAAGAGTTTGGACCTGGCTCTATCCAATGTTACCTAAATATATCCTGGCAACTAATTTCCTAATTAACAGCTGATCTATGTGCACAAGTAACAGTTCAAGGTTCAGCTGCTTTGTTATTACACAATATAGGAATTAGAGTTTCTGCTTTAGCCCAATCCAGCCTACGCAGATCAAATGAAACAAACACAACTAAGAAACCATACAAATGTACAAAATAAAATATACCGTTTTGTATATGTAACATCACTGCAATATATAGGCCCTATATCAGAGTTTTGTTGCAAATAATTGAGGTTGTCACGTTGATGAGTGAAGGGAGTGTTGCGGTTAATGATTTATATACCATTTATCAATTAGTTTCAGCTTATAAACCCTTATTAAAGTGCACTGTACTAGAGAGCAGTAGTCTACCCTACTGCATGAACGATTAAATGTAACATGAAAATATTAACCTGGATAAAGGGCTGTTGTGACAAGGCAGCCATGCACATATTAACACACGCATTATTACAATTATTAAGCATTATGACTCTAATGAAATGGTAGTGCCAGAGGGCTGCGGGAATGAAAAAGTGAAAGAGAGATAGTGAACGTGCCTCTGTGACTAACATAGCAACAGTACTGCATGACCACAGGTGCACTGTGACAGCTGGGTCCATTTCACAGGCTGGTTTTAGAGCTCCATTGGCCGAAAAAGTAATCAATCCTGGGAGCAGATCCGCCCATTGTCCCTGTCGCGGCACGGGAAAAATCCTTTGAAGTCATGTGGGCGTTGCCAAGCAAATTATGCCATGTGGTGCTCAAGAGCAGGGTTCTTATTGGACCACAGTAACACAGGAAACGCCCATTCCTGAAGTATACTCTCTCTGATTGGCTAACTTGGCCACCCCAGATTCGCCATTTGCGCGTTCACAGTTGCTCTATTCTCCGTCGCAGTTTACGTCAACAGCGTGAACCTCCTTCTGTGACAGCGGAGCAAGCCCTGTAACCTTTTACGGAAATGGCGTAGCAAACGTGCGCAACGACAAAGACAGCGAGCCGAAACCTATGGGGAAGGAATAAAAAAAGAAATTCAGTATCGTCGCACTCTGTACCTAAGGACCATCATTTTCTGAAGAGGTAGCTGCCCCGGAGCCTCGGTGAAGACACCGAAATTTGACGACAACGAGGGCGGATTTTAAATAGGCACTGAGCCTTTGATTTCGTAGAGAGAGACTGTTGCAACTGGCAGATTTTCCGTTGGACGGTCTAGTGAGGGAGCCGCCATGGCAGTCGGATCATTGAGCCTCCACATCGGGATATGAATAGGAACTGCATGTGTCCCGAATAGTCAAGAAAACGCTGCATACCCTTTGATCCTCACAGGATCAGCTATCCTAACAACTGATCTCACCCTTCCTCATCTTTGTGAAAGTGGTTTTGCACCCAGAAAGAAAACGCTATTGGTTTTAATCGGGGGGCCACAGGGAGAGGCCAGATTCATGACTATTTTAGTCGGAGACGTTTCTTCAGAGGCCCGCTGAGAGAAAAACCTGGAATATAAGGAAGAAATGCTGCTCTGATTGACCATAGGTGGGCAAGAAAGGGTAGTTTTTAGGGAGAAACAGACTACAGTGAAGCATAAAGGGGTCGCTTTCTGCCTATCTTCCCTGTGAATTTCTTTTACTGTCATCCTTTTTGGATGAGAAGGTCCGGCAAAATCAATCAGCCCAGCCGTATAGCCAGTCACAGTCTCCGAGCAGAGAGAGAACCAGAGGGATTCGATCATGTCGGGTCGGCCTAGGACCACATCCTTCGCGGAGAGCTGCAAACCAGTGCCGCAGCCCTCGGCTTTCGGCAGCATGAAAGTCAGCAGTAAGTACAGCCCTGTGAAGAGCAGCTTTCTTCTCCTGCATGCACCAGGCCCAGTGTGGGTTACACATCCTCGCTACATGTCTCCCCACTAACCAGGCTTAAAAATGTGTCAAGCGAGCATGACGTTAGCTCTGGGTAGCTTAGGCCTGTCATATATCTGTGTCATTGGCTGAGATTGACCGGGGCTCAGTGGCACACGCACACCGCTGTGACGCGCCGCCCCGGGGCCGGTCAGCCTGACCCGGGTTAGCAGGCCGCGCCGGGCCGGGCTCAGGGAAGCAGGGCTGGCACCGACCCAGTTCAAAAATCAAAGCTTTCCTCATTGTACCGCAGATCCGATCTGATTACTGTCCGTTTGAGATTAGATCTCACAGGGGTATTACTACACAGCACCAACCGTATGCGTAATTGAGTTAAAGCGATAGGGCCGGCCTATTACGCAACTGTCAAAGCGGAAGGTGCGCCCACACTGACGGAGAGGGCTGGATCACTGGTCCCATAATCGGTGGGCCGTGTCGAAACTGGACGTCTCGTGGGAGTGTGACACCCAGTATCCTGTTCATGAGATCACAGTGGCACCGAGCCGGAGGCTGGTTATAGGCTGGCTCTAGAGATGGAGTTGGTCCATATCTTTTTTATGTCTGCTTTATATGATCACTGCTACTATTTCAAGACATGTCAAACTCACTCTATTTTCCACTGCAGGTTATATGTCTGATTTCCTCTTTACAAGGTAGACTCTTTTTCCATTTATAGATACATCTTAGTGCAGAGAAGTTGAGTATTCAATGGTCCTTCCCTATTAAAGCTGAAATGTATCTAGACTAATTATATTGGAGATTATTTTTTTAAATGATATCAATTAAATGGTGGTTAAACTTGTGTGACGACCATATGAGTATAATCTAGTGTTCAGGCAGTTTAAAACCAATTCAAGATGACAATTAATAATGACTGTCCTGCCTGGAGACATCTACTGTACCTGCCCTTTCTTATCTTACATGCAGGCACACATTTGGGTGTGTGTGAGGAGAAAACACGAGGCAGTTGAGGAATGAAGGTGGTGCTTCAGGGCTATGATGTGTGTTAGTGGGGCTAGGCTTGATGCTGAGGCTCTCACCTGGACATTGGCACTAGAAACCACTCAGTGGACACACACACACACACACACACACACACACACACACACACACACACACACACACACACACACACACACACACACACACACACACACACACACACACACAGGGAGATGCTTAACCATCCCAAAATCCGTATACTTGTCCGTATACTTGTCTTGAAGCATTGGTGTGTTCCTGTCAGTGTGTAATGTTCATGGTTATGCGAAAAGGAGAACGCTGTATGTTCTGAAGTGCTAGTCTGTAAGTCAGCTAAATGTAGTCCAAGTACTCTCTGAACTCTCAATCTTTGGCCTAATTGCCGGTCAGAGATAAGCCACTGAAGTAGCACCAAATGCGATGCTGACTTTGTGGACTTAACATTACATGAGCTTTACACCAGGGGTTTTGCTGTGGTTTTCTTAACCCCTTCTTTCCAAGAGATACAAGTCGACACATAATCATCAGTCATCAGGGGCTAAAGCAGGTGTGGCCTTATTAATTGTGTGTTAAGTAATTTCATTTGTACTAGCTGGTGTTGTTTGGCCCCATAGAGGAAAGTGTTTGATTGCAAAGGCCCCTGCGATAATCAATAAATACATAAAGCAGCAGTTTGTTCTCAAGCAGTATTTTAATTGGTTATCTTAAAGGACAAGTTTAGTTGCGTTCAACAGTGGCTTTTACATTTTTTGGAATCACAACGATTGATTGCGATTGAAACATTAATACCAGGGGCTGAGTACAATTCGCTTTTTTTTCGATGCGTATTTGCTCTTCACATTTGAGCAATTTGAGAAATGCTCTGGTTAACATGTTTGTGCCATATAAGACTTTACCCACTTGAGCCAAAAACGCTTTTTAATGGGGGCACCTAAAACAAAGATACCAGCGAATTGGTGAGCAACTTTCATCGGATTGAAAGTCACTTTTCAATTAATTTAACACATCCTTGAAATGAAGTGGAAGGGTAACATGTTATCAAGGGAACAGTTTGGTTAAAGGAACTTGTTGAAGCAGTTAGACTTCTCCTTCAATCTTGTTTCCAGCTGAGAAAAAGGTTTCAGGCATTGGCTTGATGATATACTGACTGGCACACTTTTCCTGAGATAAAAGTGAACATATAAGCAACGCCTCTCACATACTCCTAAAGACATTTAGTGACATTAGCAGTTTGATACTACATGGTCTTTAATGTGATTTAAACAATATAAAATCAGATATGACATTGAAAGAAACATGATATTTGCAATTTTGCTGTGTCATGATTGTATTTTAGTCTGAATTAATAAAACATCAGATAACTTTGCTAGAACTATTTTTTCCCTGCCTCTCTTCCAATATGTCTTCATTGCCCATTTTACACACACACACACACACACACACACACACACACACACACACACACACACACACACACACACACACACACACACGGCCTCTTATCTAAAGCAGCTGTAGTCATAGTGTATAATCCTGGAGAGAACGCTCTTACCCCTCCTACTTAAGCAGACAAGCACACACACACACACACACACACACACACACACACACACACACACACACACACACACACACGAGTGGTTTTGTTTTTGGGGTGAGGCAGCTGGCCAAGAACAATGAGCGGCCTGTTTAGCATTTCAAAGCTGCGGCACTCTCTTTCTCTCTCT